AAAAAAATTATTATCAAGAAATCATAATAAAAAAAAGTAATAAAACATACGTAACTGTGAGTATTTTTTATTATATGCCAGTTAATTTCATGGCTCAAGAACTCTAATTAGTAAATTTAGACTAATTATATGTCAAATGTAGACAATTTTTAAATGCTAAATATGAATTATAAAAAATTAAAATCTATAGGCATTTTATTTTTGTAAAAGGTTTACAACTATAGTTGGTTCATTCCATTGTGTTGACCCCCGTAAATGAATGAAAAATAAATTAATTTACAACTATAATAAATGTCTGTATGTTTATGGACTGACTCAATTTAATAGCATTTAAAGAAAATACATTCAATTAAAAACAAATCAGAATCAATTGTATTATATTATATTATATTATATTACAAACACTAAAATGTAATAATATAAAAAATATAAAATAATCAGCTTAAAACTAAACAATAATACATAATTATTTCACCTATATGGCACTTCTTTCTCACAATCAGGTTTTCTTAGAGAAGAGGAAATGGCTCTCTTGGTAGCTTTTCATTTAGAACAAGAACAAATCAAAACAAGTCAAACACTGTATCTTTAAAGCTCTCTATTGATTAAATGGAGGTCAATGTTAGCTTGTGGGCGGCTCCATTAAGTATGGACCACAATGGATACAAACGGACTAGCAAACTCGATGTAATGTTTTGCCAGCCTGGTTCTTCACCCTTGAATGAGACACAGACAGCATGAAAGAGAAACACGTGTTGACTCATGAAGCTTTGATTATGGCTTGAATGAAAAAAAGAAAGACAGAAAGGATCGTGTTATTCCATTTAATGAAAACGATTCAAAAACGTGATTTAAATCAATTAATGAGCATGAAAAGCTATCTGGCCTGTGAAAAGTGAAGCTTACCTTGGAGAATAATTGAACTTAAGAAACTAAAATGGAACTGATGCATTGATTTCTTTTTTTATTCTGGCATGCAAAAAATTCAATGGAAAAAAAAGAGCGAGTGGGAGAGAGAATGTGGCTGCGGTGAGAAAGTAAGATCATGTACCCATGAGAGATCGCTCTCAGCAGACGTGTACTCTAGCCAAGCAAGGTGTTAAGCGGTGCAGGAGACCAACCCTGTGTCTGGACAAAACAAACATGGTCAGCAGCTTGCTTTTTTACCCCCACTTTAATTCTGCAGTGTATGAACTTACTAAGGTTTAAGGTTACAAACACAGTCTGAGAAAATGTATTTGCTAAATAAACTGAGCCAACCAGCTTTTGCTAAACTCCTTATTCTTGCGTTTTTGGACAGTTTCAAATATTAAGCTGTGAACAGAAAAAGACAAATTTGTTATATTGTATATATCTGGTTCGCAAATCTAATTGGCTGACAGCCGTGCAATGTTCTGCAATATCAGAACTCGTACAGCCTTCTCAACCTATATTACTATATTACTCCGCCCACATACAGTGACAGCAGATCAATAAACTCACTACAGTTTGACAAATTTTGGAGCTGTTGGACAACATAACGTACTTTTGAGACCTTTTAGGTAAGAGTGTAGTTGTTTAGATTTTTAAGGATAGTGCCTATTTTAAATATTTATAATTTCTGAGATACTGCGCAACGGCATCCACAAGATGGCGCCAGAGACAGCATAATAAAACCTTTGAGGAGAAAAGATTGACGTATTTTCAAACTACAGCTGATCAAATAATTATAAAATTGGTAAGTGACTTTCTAAGTCGATCTCTCTCTTTTTTATATTGCAGTGGTGTAAATACCATAGTAATTGTAGTGTGTTGAGTAAGGTTGGGTACCGTACCTTTGGAACCGGTATGCACCGGACCGAATCAGCATATGAATTCCGGTGCCTAATTCCAGTGCCACTGGTGCTGCGACAAGAACGTAAAAGCAGGTCGCACACCAAGTTGTGCCACGCAGCGCCATGCATTTTAGAACTCGCAAGTCGGCAGCTGTCCGTGTCTCAGGACACTGTTCATATTTTTGCCAACCCACAGAGCGCCACCGCAAAAGTTTCATTTTAAATAACAGGCGTCTGGTGTGTGATACTATCAACTGTGATGTGCGCACTGTGCCGCGACTCTGAGCGGCGAATCTGATGTGTGACGCCCTTAAGAAGCATCAAGGGGTGCATCAAAGATACGCATAAGTACGCGTTGTGTCACACCATCTCTAAATATATAATTCTAAATAGCTTTGAGGGATACGAACACCCATCAGCGATGTCAGGCATTTGTTCTTGTTGCTTACAAAAGGTAAATCGCGCAGTACGGCGCATCCGTTGAGCGAATCCATTCATCAACACGCATGATCGCATTCAACTAATTTGCATAAACTAAGCATTCTAAAGTAAGGCTATATTTTACAAGCAAGGATTCTGACACAGCAACATGCAGCAGATGTTTTACAAAAGTTGCGTGTAACTGGGGAAACACGTCAAACTTATAAAATTTGAGGGCTCATTAAAATCAACTTAAAGGTGAGGTATGGACTGTCTTTGACAGCTTGTGACATCGTCTGGCACTTTCAGTGAGTACGTTTACATGGACACCAATACTCTGATTTTAATATGATTAAGACAATACTCTGATCAAGAGTCTACCACGTAAACAGTGATTTTTGATTATCTTAAAGGACCACAGACACACACTGCAGAGGAAACATTTATAGGCTGATGACACAATGATGTTGATGAATCTATGTGCTATAACATGTAACTTGGAATCATAAATGTAACATTCAAAAAGTAACTCAAGTAAGCACCTGAATCACATTATAGTCTTATTCTGATTTAGAAATCATTAGATCACTGATGTCCATGTAAAAGTAGTCACAAGCCCCAAACCCAGAAAAAGGTGTTCCCTGATTTTGATGACAGCCTCACTAGTAGAAAGCTAATGTAATGTTAATAGAAAAAGTATTTTGTGGCTAAAAAGTATCGGTTCAGGCCTTGTTTTGGCACCGGTACCATTTTAAAACTATCGATTTAGCACCGGTATCGAAATAACCGCAAACGATACCCAACCCTAGTGCTGAGTGTGAGATGGGACTCGTGTATCAGGAATGTATGTATTTGGTGTTGGCCACTCTTTGTATAACCTTGACTTTTTGGCCATCTGTTCGTTTCTAATGAGGCTCCTGTTTTCCTTAATGCAGACTAGTTCACTAAAAAGAAAGAAAGAAGAAATGGCCGCATTTATTTACTGATGGACAATACTATGTTTTGATCTGGAATAGAAAGCAAAACATCAAAAAGCAAAAACTAGACCTTAAATATATTTTCAAACAGTCAAAATATTTGTGCAACAACAGATCTTTTGTTTTACAACAGTTTTTAAAGGCCACTTAATATGCAAAATCAACTTTTGTAAGCAATTTGGACAGAACTGTGTGTTTAAATAGAATGTCCACTGTCCTATTGGAGTGATATAAACACTCCAAGCCCACCGAATTGATTGACAGGAGCATAATAACATGTCTTTGTAGTAATGTGTTTACAGACGAGGATTTGCAAAGAAACTGGCATTAAAAGATCTGTTCCAACTCTCTATGATCAGCTGCACATCAAGAATGAGTTTTACGAGAACTACACATTTAGGAGGCTATAATAAATGATTGGATGAGTATTTTAAGCTGAAACGTTACAGACACATTCGAGAGACACCATTGACTTATCTTTGCATGCCAATCTACAGTACTGGAGTGCTCACATTGCATACAGCCTTTTCTTTATAGAAAGCATGCAAGAGCTATCAATATATAAAGAGCTTACAAGCTAGTCTGAGGTTCTTCAGGCATCAGTTCTTGGACCTCTCTTGTGCTCCATTTATATATCATTGATATCCATAATACATAATTTGACTTGCCCTCATGGGTCTATTTGATGGCTTTTTCTTTCACTGTTTATAGCTATATATGTTCATCTGAAGCTACCAGAGCATTAAATCGGAGCTGTTGAAAGCTTGATTCTGATTGGTTAATGACATTCTGTGTCCAATTTTTACCACAACTAAAGTAGTTCCAGACATGTCTCTGCTTTATGGTTTCATATCACTATTCTAAAAAATACTACTCAAATATTCACAATCTACTAATGTAAAATGAATCAACACAATTCTTGAGTTTTTTTTTATTTATTTTATGTGAAATCCACTTAAATTTGTAGGGTTAAATTAACTTAAACATATATTCACTTACTAGATTTGTGTTAGGACAACATGAAGGAATTGCATGTAACCAAGCATATTTTACAATGCACTACACATAGGAGCTGGTTCAGGACAAAAACACACACTTCACAAATGTGTTCAAATAATATATATATATATATATATATATATATATATATATATATATATATATATATATATATATATATATATATATATCTATATATATATATATATAATAATAATAATAATTATATATATATATATATAGTATCTATTTTGTAAGGTGTGGTAATCGTGCTATATGCAAAAAATAAATTTCATGTTGTAGCCGCATCAATTATTAATAATCAATTATTTCTAACGTGAACTAATTCATCCTCACTCCACTGTAATGCTACAGTATAACATGTTAACTTTATATAGTTTTTACTATTTGCAAAAGGAAAGGGGGTCTATATCGACACTGGAAGACTAACATGCATTCTTCTCTTTCGCATACCTAACATACCAAAAGCAGTGTCTACATTCAGGAGTGACAAAAAAAATTCTTCTAAAGTGATAAAAGAGCCTATCAAGGCTACAGGCTTTTGAGAGCTGGGATGCGGCAATGTTTTTACCTGTCTTTTAACCTTTGGAAACATCTTCAGAATCAGAGCACCTTCCTCCGTGTGTAAGCAAACCACCCAAAGCAATATTACAAGTAATTCTGTTCTTATAAAACATATTTTGGCCACTGTTTATTAGGACAAACGCTTTCAGAGCTACCGTTAATATTACAAGTGTTTACACTCACTTCAAGGAAAGAAAACTCTTACCTCCTTTCTCGAAGTTTCTGAATGTATTCAAACTTAGGTGTCAACTTCCCGTTGGATGTGATTACAGCCTAGATGTAAAAGAATGCAAATGAAAAATAATACTTTTAAATTGTTTATTAAAACATTAACATTTAAAGAGTTAAATTGTAAATAAATCCGCTTAAAGATGCTAACTTAAACTACTGCATTTGGATGCGTGATTTTGAGTACTTTTACATCACAAACACCAAAACCATTACTATGCTCCATTCAGTACTGAACTAAGAATACTTTAACGTTCACATTTAATTCAGATTTTAATTTAAATCAAACTGTTGGATTAAACAGGATACAGAATTGCTTTTGTTACATGAATAAGGATGGATATAAAGCTCACTTCTTGGAATGCTTTAAATTAGTAGCCAGGTTTCCATAATAATTTTCGCAAATTGCCATTTGGTGCTGCTATGAACTTAAAATCAGTGTTCCTCACATCAAACTTAACATAACTGTGAATTGCAGATTTCTTAGCTTTAGTTTTATACCGACAAATCAATAGTTGTGGGAATAGACTCAAGCTGAAATGCTGCCCATTTCGCTCTGATTCAAGTTTTACATGCATTTTTGCACAGACTTCCTTCTGTGCAACATTTTGTGCACAAGTTTAAGACTGCAAACAAACACAACTTCACATTCCACCATGGTACAAGATTGATTGAAAGGAACACTCTCTTTTATTTGAAAGCAGATTCATTTTACAAATCATTTTTGAATCCATTCAGCTGATTTTCGGATCTGGCGGTTGCAGCTTAGCTTCGCATAAATCATTGAAAACGATTAGACCATTAGCATCTCCCTCAAAAAATAAAAATAAAAAGTATTGCTATAAAAATTTGAGTATTAAAAGCTAAACTGTTCTGTAGTCACATCATGTACTAAGACGAAAGAAATATGGAAAGATTTTAGGCTGATTTGGCTAGGAACTACTCTCATTCTAAAATAATATACAAGGAACTTTGCTGCTATACCATCGATGCAGCAGGCACACTGATATTACAGAGCCCTTGAAAATAGTCCCAATCACCAAGCCATTCACTTGGACCCAAAGTTATAATCTGCATATCATTGCACTTGATTTAGCCATAGTATAGCAACAAAGTTCCTTGATTATTACACCCAAATGAGAATATAGTTCCTAGACGTATTATCCCAGACAATAGCAACTTCTCATTTTCTGTTAATCTTATTACACAAAGTAACTAGAGAAAACTCAATATTTAAATAACAAAGTCACTAAAACATTTTTTGAGCAAGATGCTAATGGTCTAATCTGGTTCAATGACCTATGCTAAGCTAAGCTAAAAGTGTTTCCACCAGACCCAGAGATTGGCTGAATGGATTCAAAAATGCTAAAACTCAACCGTTTAACTGCATGGGCATTGTAAAATGAAAAGTGGAGTGTTCCTTTAACAAAGAAAAATAAAGATGCTAACCAAAGGGGCTACCATTTCAGTTGTAAAATTAAAAAATGTATTGTTCCTTTAACAAAGTAAAACAAAGATGCTAACATTTTATTTTCTGTCATTCTTAGTACTTGATGTAACTACATAAGAGTCAATCTTTAAATAGGAAAGTCAATGCAACTATTTGTACATTTTTTTGAGCAAGACACTATTGGTCTAACCTGATCAACGACCTATGCTAAGCTAAGCTAAGCTAAAAGTGTTCCCGCCAGACCCAGAGATCCACTTAACGGATTTAAAAATGATAAAACTCATTTTTTAACTGTGGTGGAGTTGTAAAATGAAAAGTGTAGTGTTTCTTTAACAAAGAAAAATAATCACAGTCTTACATCTCTGACTTGTGGAGAGAAATCCTCTTCCTCCAGTGGTTTGGTGGCATCTGATGGGAGCTGTGGAACAAAAGCAACCATATCAAATCTGCTCAAATCCCCAAAAAGGGGGATCCACAATATATTAAAATTAAAACCAGCAAAGAAACTAAAACTGTAGATTCTCTCAATCTGTACCAGAGCAGCATGTTCAAAGCAATCATCTACCTAGTAAAGTATCTCACCGTGACCACCCTGTCACATCTTACCATCTCCATGACGTAAGGGAACAGTCGGTCACCAAAATACTCAGTGGCCTCAATTGGCAGCTGGGCAGGCAGGTTGTCAATGGAGCACATGAGAATGCCGTTACCTTCAACACTGAGAAGAGAAACAAAGAAATCAGAGGATGCTTTAAATATGATTATATATATATATATATATATATATATATAGATAGATATATTTGCAGCAAGATAAAGATACAAAGTTTTTCACAATCGTTCCTATAGTTTATCTGAATGTAAATACAGTTGAAATCTAAATTATTTAACCCACTTTGAAATTTTTCTTTTTTTAAATATTTCCCAATTGATCTTTAACAAAGCAAGGAAATGTTCACAGTATCTCTGATAATATTTTTTCTTCTGGAGAAAGTCATGTTTTTTTCGGCTACTTATTTGTTTGATTTCGGCTAGAATAAAAGCAGTTTTACATTTTTTAAAAAACATTTTAAGGTCAAAATTACTAAGCTATATATTTTTTCGATAGTCTACAGAACAAACCATCAGTATACAATAACTTGCCTAGTTACCCTAGTTAAGCCTTTAAATGTCACTTTTAGCTGTACAGAATTGTCTTAAAAATATCTAGTAAAATATTATGTGCTGTCATCATGGCAAAGATAAAATAAATCAGTTATTAGAAATTAATTATTAAAACGTTTACATTCAGAAATGTATTAAAAAATCTTCTCTCCATTAAACAAAAATCGGGGGAAAAATAAACAGGGCTAATAATTCAGGGGGTTTTATAATTCTGACTTCAACTATATATATCAATACCACATAGGACTGTTTAAACACATGAGAAATGCAACGAAACAAGGATCAAGCTTCCCAATCTAAGAAAATGTCAAATTCCCAGACTGAATTTGCATGATTTCTAAAGATTAGAAAAATAGGCCGTTATTGTGTCAAGCAGTCCCTGTTGAACTTTGTGATACTTTGAATGCTAAATTTATTGCAAACATTGCTACAAAATTTAAAGGAGTTTGCAAGTTATCTTAAATCTATTTTTTATCATTTAATTATGCTTTGAATTGAATTATGTGATCTTGAACTTTTCTCTAATATTTTGATATTGAAAAGTGAAAAATGTTACTTTTATTGACTTTTTTTAATAGTTTGAAGTAATATTTTGTCTGGCTGTGTTGAAAATTTTGGCATAATAAAACCTGAAAATAAACTTCCAGTACTATTTCTGTTATTTTATGGACTTAAACCTCTATATTTTATTTCTTATACAATATAAAGTTTCAAACTACTAACATTTTTTATTAAAAGTCACTTTTAAAAGTCAACTGCAATGCTGAATTTTTAAAATTAAAGGCAACAAAGCAAAGATTATGGTCACAATGCAATTCATAAATGAAAAAAAAAAAACACAAATTATGAAAATACAGAACCTTTTAATTACTGGATATTTTTACAGTGTAGCTAGGACATGAACTTCTAAATATACAAAAATATAATACAAAAATTATATTTGCATAAAGAAACTGCTTATTGTCAAAAGTTGTCATAGATAACAGAAACCAATAGTCCTTAATGTAAAAAAAAAGTAAGTATAAGTATAATTTCAGAGGAAAACAACACAAAAAAAGGTGTAAATATTGCCACTAAATCTATTAAAAAGTCACCGCAATATTTTGGCTGCAAAACTCTCTTTATGCAAAATCAAGGAGTGACTGGTTGAGCAAAAACTAAAACACAGTACACAAACACACACACATACACGGGTATAGTCAAGTGACTAAATTTGATTGCTGGTTGCCAGGTGGGAAAGAAATAAAACAGCATATAAAATGAAAAATAGTCTAACCATAACAACAGGCAAAACAAGTGAAACAACATAATAAATAACATGGTCAAGAAAATAAAATAATTTGAATAAATTGAAAAATGACTAAAATAGAAAACAAAAATACCCTGATATTCCATAACTTGGACAAAAAATAAATATGAAATTCCCTGACTTTTAATGAGTGGTACTGCACGAATGCAGTTTAATCAGCATATCCTGACTTCAGCAATAGTCACACTAGAATGTGAGCATGCAAAATTCAACACAGCTGAGAAAAAGGAGCGGGAATAAACAAGAAGATGTGACATTCTTAAAACGAGTGATTGCTCCATATTAAAAATTTCTAAACAAAGAAGTAACATTTTAATCTTTGATTGTTGTTACGCATTCAGTTGATGTAAATTTCCAGATCAGAGTTCACCATGCTTAACTCTACAGTGACGTTCAGTTTGCATTTCCAGTCTGGCACATTCACATTCGTATGAGTAGAGGGCAATGGGGTGGAAAAGTCCTAACGATGGTCAACTCTCATTAAAGTGTTGGACTTGGTTTTTGGGTCACCTCTGAATTTACATAGTTTGATAGTATTTAAATGAGCTATAATTGACAAGATATTTTCAAATTAGCTTTGCAGTTTATTACAGATACAAATTTGCCAAAAAAAAAAAGAACATTCAAAAATATAATAAGAAGAAAAATCTTTAAATTTTAGCTTTGAAAGACTGGCAAGAACTGTTCCTTAACATTGAAAGTTGACATTGGTTCAAGATATTACAAATCTCTTTTCTGATTTCAATTCAATTTCAATTTAATTCAACCCAAGTCTGTAAATCAACACAAGGCTTTGAAGTTTTTCTCATTTCGTCACCATGTAGAACAAGATATACATTTAAACAACAAATAAATAGAACAAATAAACATGTATATTTTGAATATAAATAAATATATAACAAAATATTATATATATTGGAGGAAGTAGTAGTAGTACCTGTCATGGTCAATATGCTGGTTGGCATCATACATACAAAAAGGTTTCTCAATAGTTGTACACTCAGTCATGAACTCAATGGAGCCACCGGTGTCTGCAGAAATGTCACAAATGGCCAAAAACCTGATGTAAAAAAAATAAATATAAATAAACAATTCCTGTCATTATTTATAGAAAGGTCTAACCACCTTTTAGAAAACTTTACGGTGTGCTTTTGTTATATGACTAGCAACAATAATAGCAGGAGCTCACTTGTGGGGAAGAGCAGGGCAGCCATAATCAGCTGACGATGATGTAGTTACAACAGGTCTAATCAGCCGCTGGGCGTCCAGTCTCCTCAGCAGTCTGGGTGTATGAGGGTCCCAGTATATACCGTTTATTAGACAAGTTGTATAAGGGGCCACCTGTGTGAAAACAATAATGTATCTTTAGGGCATTTTCACCACAAATATGGTCACACTAGTAAATGTTTGGCAAATTCTTAAGGCTAATATTGTCTACTGGCAGTTAATAATGAATCTAGCACAATTTAAGCCACTTAAGCCTAGTTTAAAATAAACAACTTCTTTCCCTATTTCAAAACTATTTGCGTGATGTAAGGCGTCATGATTATTCGTTGGAGACGACAAGATTTAATCATTTCTTCTTGTGTAGTGTGTCATAGTGCATGACAACCAATGCCATGTCTGTGATGCTGATTATCAAAGAAAGTCTTGAAGAGATATTGTACACAGAGTATTTCTGTACTCACATTCACAGATGCAAATCGTCAATCCCAAACATTTCATCTAAATAGTGGATTTCTAACCTGATTATACTAGGATTGCTCCAGTCAGTGCTTCCTTTATTCACTAGTCCACATAAACACAGGTATTTTCAAAACTGTATCCAACGGTTCAAACATTGTCTCCTGAAGTCAGTGATTTGTATCACTATGATAATACACTAATGCACACAGCAAAACTGGTGACAGATGGGTTTGATAAACATGGAAGTGAAGTCGAACATTTCCCATGGCCTGCACAGTTACCCGATATAATCAAATCTTATTGAGCCAGTTTAGGGTGTTTTAGACAAGCGAGTTAGGAAACGTAGTGATCTGGCCACTATTCTGCAAGCTTAAAATCCCTCTGGTCACTTGGATCTGTCATTCCTAAGCTGAATTAATGCTCTATTGGCTGCAATAGGAGGCCCTAAACCAGGGGTGGGCAAACTCTGTCCTGGAGGGCCGATGTCCTGCACAGTTTAGCTCTAACTCTGATCAAACAAACCTGCTTACAGATAATTAGTGATAAGACACTGATTAGCATCAGGGCTTGACATTAACACCCGCCAAATGCGGGAAGATTTCAGGCGTGGCGGGTAAGACAGACACTCCCATTAGCCACTTTGGCTGGTTGAAAACATTTTTTCCCAGATAATAATTCTTAAAAGCAGGGTTCGACAATAAGGATGGTCCAATATGCATGCAAAGGCGATCTGAGAATTGAGAAGCAACATGACTGACAAAAGTAATTGCGTTTGCGCAAGCAATAGAAAGCAGGTGAATACCGAATGAGAGGATAATCACTCACGCTAACAGCTGAGGTGATGCGAGCGTGAAGCAACTGTGTCTAGAAACACAACTGATGTGATCGGTTCTCTTTCAGGTAGACTAGACAAAAAGTGATGAACATGCACCCACAGTCTTGCTGCTCCAGATTTGTCTTTTTGTAAGCAGCACCGGTTGCTTTTGCTTTAAATATTCTTTAAACAGATTATTGATGGGTCTAACCTTAACCGTGTGTGTGTGATCATCCTTTCATTATTGTTTTTTTTTTTTAATCTGCTTTTTTTTGCGTTAATATGGTTTAATTGTCATTTTTTACAATAACATTGCTTTAATAGGAGATTAACTCCCCATTTATGTGTAGTTAACTGGTGATTTGGGCCAGGACAGATTACTGTGCATATGTTTTGTTAAATAAAAAGTATAGCATACAGCTATATTTAGCTTGTTTTTACCCATTTAAAATTTGTGGCTGAGAAATAATTAATTGTTTATGTTTGGTGCGGTCGGAGATCAATTTGGTAAATCCTTATGGTAAAAAAATTATGTGAAATAAAAACTAATTGTAATACTATGAAACCATGACCCATTTGCTCATGATTATTGAGCAAGCTCATACATGACACACAAATGAATGACGAGGTATGTGGAGATAATGCAAAATCTAAAATCAAGCAATTTTAGCATGTCAAAATCATGTGTATAAAATATATTTTCTCAACAACAAAATTGTGGCTAGTGAAAATGGCAAGTGGCTAGTAATGTTGGAAAACTACTAGTCACAGTGGCTGGTGATCAAAAAAGTTAATGTAAAGCCCTGATTAGCATGTTCAGGTGTGTTTGATTAGAGTTGGAGCAAAACTATGCAGGACAAGTTTGCTCTCCCCTGCCCTACACAATACTAAAGAATATATTTAAATATATATATATATATATACCAGGGTTCAACGCTAAGATTTTTTTTACTGGGCCGATCGGGCCAGTGGTTGAGATTTTTACTTGCCCTGCAAAAGTTTTCACTGGCCCCACCATAAAAAATAAAAAGTTAATAGCTATTTCTTAATCACATATTTTAAATAATGTGGCAAAATAATGTCTGTGAATCTAGAATTGAAACATTTTAAAAATATTAATAAATGTATAATGAGCTAAATTCAAGATTTTATGCAAACGAAAGAGCAGTATGAAAAAATGTGCTGGTATTTTACTGCAACTCTAAATTATTTTTATAAAAATGGATTGCCAAACTGACAACTTTTTTCTTTTTTCCATATTCTTAATTTTGTACCCATGTAGTTGTCTGCTTCCAGGACTTTAGAAACAGAAGCTTTCTTTAGTCTCATATAGTTTGATGGCCATGTTGCCATCTTTTCACTGTACTGGTTACCAGGTTCCGGAAAAAAATATCGTGGTCATCGTTACTGGCCGATAGGGGCCAGTAACAATCCTGTCTATTGTCCCGAGCGTCTTTCATGCTGGCCCTGGGCCACCGGGGAGCCCTTATTGTTGAGCACCCATTTACATGTAGACATAGGTTTAGTCTCACACACATGACAGTTAGCCTTGCCCACTTATTTACATGTCGCTGTAAACATGGGAATAAAAAAATTGGTTGAGATGTTTTCTGCTGTAACAGTACATACTGTCATACCACCCAGCCCTACTTGGTACACTTCTTTTGTATACTTACAGTATCCCTAAAGTGTGACGTGTAGAGCTCAGGGTGGTTTTCGTACTCCAGGGGGTCATAGAGTCCGTCACTCCTCCTCATCAGGTGGTGATGTCTGCTGATCACTGTGGCGTACACTTTCGTCAAGTCTGCAAAGAGGATTAGCATGAGTCAATTTGCGAACACAGCAAAGTGTCAATTACTGCAAACAGCTCACATAAAACCCACCACCTCTTTTGTGTAACTAAAATACTCAGGAAAAAAAGAAGCAATACCTCCACTCAAAGAGACTTCCTTCAGTTCATGAGGTTCCACAAATTCACAGGGGAGCTCGTTGAAAATGTCTTGAGCGCCCTGAAAGGGAAGCAGTTTCATTTATTTCACACAAAGAATTTTGCCATTCATTTGCTGTTTTTTCTCTGCATGTGTGTGTAAACATGCTAGATGGATACATTTGCACTGTTTAGGGCATCTGAAACACAATGAATTTCAGATGTTGAAAATAAAAGGAATTCAACTTATCATAAAAATTCCCCCCAAAAAACTAACAAAACTCAACAAAGTATAACTTTCAATATTAACGAATCATTAACTCAGACTTTTGCCATAATAAACTACTAATTAGCTGTTTATTAATAGTTAATAAGGTAGTAGTTGGGTTAAGGTATTGGGTAGGATTAGCAATGTACAATAAATGTTTACTTAATAAGTAATTAACAACGTAATAAGGTAATAAGCCAGTAGTTTATAATAGTGAGAATTGGTACTTAAACTAAAGTGTTACCCTTATTTACGTTCCATTACCCTTAATCTTACCTTGGACACGTTGCCGGTGCCGGTAAATACAAATGTAAGAGGGCCTATGGACTTGGGCATCAGACCTAAAGATATTTCATATCCACAATCCCTTACTGCCTGGATGGCCTGGCTGACATTTCTGTAGTTGTGTGCCATACCAATATGCTGTCAAGTGGAAAAATATATAGGAGTAATTAAAAAAATACAGAGGCCAAGAGAGCTTAACGTGCTGGAATTTAAGAAAACACATGGAACTACAAAAAATGCCAGCAAATTAAGAAAAGATCTTTATCTGTATGACAGTACATGTGCTGCAAATTAAAAAAAAAAAAGCGCTGCATTTTCCCACAACTCAAACAAATGACAAAAACGCACTAGATTCACTGACCACGCAAAAAGAATAGAACACAAAAGAAATGTTTCAAGGGGACCCGAAAACATGATGGACACTGCTGTGCTGTGATTATTACTCTATGAAGTTGAAAGGTGAGTTTTTGTTTGTTTTAATATCTCGATTGCCATGTCTTTAATATGTATTAGCCTAAATAACCATAACCTAAATAGCCTGGTCCGTCAAGTTTTAGGGTCTCCTTGAAACATTTCCACTGTGTTGTGAGAAAATGCAGAACGTTTTTGTAAAATTTTGCATTGGGAGAAAATCCAGCACGTTTTCGTAATTGTTTGTGTTGTGTGAAAATACAGCGTGTTTTTTTTTTTAATGTGTTTGCATTGTGGCAATTTGCTGCTGTCAAAGTGGTGAAGATCTTTCCTTAATTTGCTGATGTTTTTTGTTAAATTACAGCATGTTAAGCTTTCTCGGCCACAGTAAGAACCACCATATGAACAAATCATTCATATGAAGTCTCCAAATGTATGTGGTTAACCAAAAAGTTTACATTATAAAAATAAAAAAAATAAAAAATACCATAAATGGTGTGTGGTGTCCAAGGGCAAGGAAACGCAGGCCCAGACCATGCAAAATGTTTATCATTCCTATAACAGATATAGACAGCAAGTTAAACATTTAGCAAGAAAATTTAATAATATCTGCTTGCATGCAAAAGTTAAGTGTAAAAAGATATTATCTGACTAAAATGATGACTTGACCAAAAGCAGTCAAATCAGCCATATAATAAAAAACTATAAATAAATAAATAAATACATTTTAAATAATAGTTTTCTACTGTATTGTTAGATATTTAAGATCCAATTTATCCTTGTGATACAAACTTAAATTTTCCAGACATTGTTTCAGTTTTTAGTGTTGCATGATCCTTCAAAAATATTTTTAATATTTTAATTTGGCACTTACAAAACATCTTATAATTAATGTAAAAAAATAGGTATTTCTGTATTCTTTGATAAGCAGAAACCTTAAAAGAACCACATTTCTTATTAAAATAAATCCTGTGTTAAATTATTAACACTGACTCTGATACTTTAGAATAGTTGTGCTGTTCTCAAAAAATTGTAATATGTAAATGTTTAATTTTGCTTTTCAAATCTGAAATGACATGATGTTGAATCATAAGCTACCATACCTGCAACACCAGCCCACTGTCCAAATGCTACAATTCTGTAGCCATTAGGATCCACCATTTTTTCATAATCAATGAGTCGAACTTCCTAAAAAAAGAAGAAAAATGATGATCATCAGTCACTTGTGAACGCTGATTCCCTCCAATACACATTTCCCAACACATATAACACTAAAGAGAGTTTGTGTGTGTGTGTGTGTTTTTAATCTATAAAAAAATTCACCTTTTTAAGAAGGTCATCAAGGAGTCCCATGTTTGCCTCCTGTGCTTTAATTGTGTGAGAGAAGAAGGCGTAGGTCTTTCGGGGGTACACCTTTTCTTCTGGGGGCCTTTTCACACCAATGATGAGAGATGCTTCTGAGATGTCCTCCTGGATAACAGCGCCTGCCTTTTCATAGTACTGAAAACCAGAAACAATCTTTAGCCTGCTCAACCTTATTAGATTTGAATTAAAATGTTGTAAATATCAAGAGGACATATTAAGGGCCTCAAAAAGTTTTCAAATTGTATGTCAGCCAGATATTGCATCTAAAAGCACGTGGAAAGCATGAGCATGAAAAAGAATCAATATGTGAACGGCCTATTTCACGGCAGCGTCACAAAGAGGTCTATAATCTATGCATTGACAAAACAAATCTGTGAACATATATATATATATATATATATATATATATATATATATATATATATATATAGATATTTGGTCAAGCAGAACATTGGAGCCTTACTTGAGTTTGACAACTTGTACGCTAACACGCACGCACACACGCATGCACACACACACTTGTTTTGTCATAGGTCTGATATAGAGTCAATTTGTTACAGCTTTACTAGGTGCAGGGCTCAACAATAAGGACTGGCCGATGGCCCGGGGCCAGCGTGAGAGAAGCTCGGGACAGTAGACAGAATCGTTACTGGCCTGATCAAGCCACTGATGCCCTGTCACTAAAGTTTAATTTGTCTGTAAATATTTGTCAATCGTATGCAAATACAGTCAGAATCGAGAAACAGTGTGTGTTTTTAAGACTTAAAATGCTAACTTCTCTGTTTCTCTAATCTGATTGGATGTTGTAAGCATGTTATTTTTCTGTAACAACCAGTACAGCGAAGAGACAGCAACATGGCGGAAACATCAAGTGATGATGCTAAAGGAAAACATTTGTTTCTAACGTCTTGGAAGCAGACATTTACAAGGGTACTCCACGACTAAAAAAATGAAGTGTTTTGTACAGTTTGCCATCAGTTTGGCAGGTCAGCTATCTTATGTTTTGCGATAAAATACCTGCACATTTTGCTACTTCTGTTTGCAAAACACTTTGAATTTTGTTCATTATACATTTATTAACTTTTTTTTTTTTTAAATATTGAAATTCTAGATTTACAAACATTTTGACACATTTTTATATTTGTGGCTAATAAATAGCTTCAAACTTTTTTTTGGTAGGGCCAGTGAAAATATTGGCAGGGAAAGTAAAAATCTGAACAACTGGTCCTATCGGGCAGGTAGAAAAAATCCTTAGCGTTGAACCCTGAGGTGATTTTTATTTTATGTCGGCTTAAGAGACGTGCTTGATAAAGATTTAATTGCTTTTCTTTTGAACTATGTTTCAGTTTCACACTGTAAACCCCCATGAGTCCCCACATCCTCCGCTCGTTCTACACCTGCACTGTAGAGAGCATCATGTCTGGCTGTATCACAACCTGGTAAGGAAATAGCACCAGCAGCAATCGCAAAGGCCTACCTAGGATTGTGTGAACTGCTGGACATCTACACCAGGCGGTGCATGAGGAAAGTCAAGAGAATTATCAGCGACTCCAGCAACCCAAGCCATAGACTTTTCTCTCTGCTACCCTCAGGCAGATGGTTTCGCAGCATCCGGTCACGTGCCAGCCGACTGAAGGAAAGCTTCCTCCCTAAGACTATCAGGCTGATGAACACTCAACACACCTCACACAGACTATTCCATACCCCTCACTGCACACCATCAATATGTAGCATGCACTGCACTTTAACCAATCCATCCTTAAAACATTACTGCCTACAACTATGTAGACTCCTATTCATTGTACATATCGCTGTCAATCTTCAATTGTCCTGTTTTTTTGAGGAGTATGCTGTTGTATTTTGCACTGTCTGTATTTAACACAGTCATTGTATTTGCACTGTCTGTATTTTGCACTGTCGTTGTATTTGCATCTGTATTCTGTTCTGTATTTTGCACTGTCTGGAGCCAACACCTAAGCTTATCACTCATCATAGCACACATGCTGCTGATGATGTGACAATAAAGGTGATTTGATTATACACATATTCAGTCTGTCTGTAACAAAATCATGATTAAAATTGTTTATTTCTTGAATATTGCTCAAGAAAATCATGAAGGGTTTATTTTGCCCATATTGCACAGCCCTACAGAGTATTATGTAATCTATTAAATTAACCAATAAATTGTCATTTTTAATGCCTACCCCCACTCCAACCCTAAACTGTCACAGTACTGTAAAAATATTAATTATTGTTATACAGCGTCAAAAAAAAAAAAAAAAAATGCTGCTATATTGATGTGCATATCACACTTCCGGCGCTGGATATCGGATCTAGACTTTACTTTCTAAACGGAAGTTCTAAGCATCCTACCGGAAGGCGCTGGTCACTGTAGCACCCTTCATGCAGCAATGAAGAAAAAGGTCTACACAGTCACAGTACTGTAAAAATATTATTAAACTATTAACATTAAACCATAAAAACCGTATCAAACTATTAATGCTGATAAACAGATTCTTCCACTCTATAACATAAATAAAATGTAACCACTATTAAATAACAATGCAACACACAAATTCTCCATCAAAGGAAGGCAAACAACATAGTGCATACAGTTATTCAACGACTCACTCTGTCATGGATGGCTCTTCTGTTGGAGGGCTGCACGAGCACCTTGTGTCCAGCCGCTGTGATCTCCCTGACGTGTCGTGGGGCGAGGGGCGCACGTCTCTCCCACACGTTGACATCCTCACGCCGGATGGCGATCACACTTTTGTGATTCTGCTGGTTATGCTGAGACCTCCGCTGACAGCACATGCAGCCCCTAAACCCTCTGCCCTGGCTCCTCACAAGACGCAGCATGACTGGACTAGCTTCCAAAACACACAGGTTACAACCGATACACACTTATGAAAATCCCACTAAAGCAATATTGAACGTGAAGGACAGCCAAGCAGAAAAGTGGACGAAGAAACCCAGTCTGTGTTTGTAATGGAGAGAAATACATTCGAAAACCGTTTTGGCATTGATCTCCACTGGTTTAAAATAACTCTTATTGTAATAAGTTCATTACAAAATGTAAAAAGGTATATTGCATTATTTATTATAATTGGGTATATTTGTTTATTTATTAATAATATGAAATAAATTAAGAAATTAGCTATGGAAAGTTTTATGTATTAAACACTCAAAAATATATATCTATATATATTTTGCTGCTTTTTCAACCTACTTATGTAAAATAAGTGGGAATAACACAATTCTTTAGAGATTCTTTTGGGACAACTTAATTGTTTTCTGTTTAATCCACGTCAATGTGTTAAGGTAATTGATTTGTGTTGAGACAACCCGAATGAATTGAATGAATGGAACTCTGCATTTTTTTAAAGTGCAGTTTGATATACTGAGTTTCAGCCCACAGCTCTCAATCAAATTTGGTTTTTGGCCCGTCATGTTTGGGCACACCTGAGTTAGAAAATATCTATACTACTTTGGTCACACTTTACAATAAGGTTTCATTAATGTTATAAATGTATTTATTGACAAATTAATAATGATAAAACACGCACAGCATTCATTAATCAAAGTTTAACATTCATTAATGCATTATTAAAATCTAAATACATGCTTGTTAACATAAATGCACTGAGCTAATAACACTAAAAAGACCAATTATATTTTAATTACTAATACAGACTTTTTGTAAAGTGTTACACTTATTTAAAACTACTGATATTATAACTTCTTTTAGTATACAAATATGTTCCTTTTGGTCACTGCCAGCTGTCAAATTTTTTTTTTCTGAGGACTACATTTATCAAATGGATCATTAATAACCATGATATTCAACTGCTGCTCACAAAACTAGCAACAACTAATGAACTATTTCTGTATGTGCTGCGATGGTTTAACATTTATTTCAAACTAAGTCTAGCATTTATCTTATGAATCGTATGTAGCATGTCATATGACCACATGAACTTGAAATGTGGTTTAAATTTCTTAGAATAAAAAAAAACTAATGGATTGCACACTAATCTGTCAGTAAATGTGCTTCATCATATTCATGTTAGAACTACTGCAAAGAAGAAACACGTAGTTGAAGTCAGAATTATTAGCCCCTTTTTTCTTTTTTTAAATACTTCCCAAATAATGTATAATGTTAACAGAGCAAAGACATTTTCACAGCATGTCTGATAATATTTTTTCTTTTGAAGAAAGCCTTATTTGTTTTATTTCAGCCAGAATAAAAGCAGGTCAAAGTTCAAAAGGTCAAAATTGCCCCTTCAAGCAATATTTCTTTCGACAGTCTACAGAACAAACCACTGTTATACAATAACTTGACTAATTACCCTAATCTGCCTAGTTAACCTTATTAATGTAGTTAGGCCTTTAAATGTCACTTTAATTTGTACAGAAGTGTCTTGAAAAATATCTAGTAAATATTATTTACCGTCATCATGGAAAAGATAAAATAAATGAGTTATTAGAAATGAGTTATTAAAATTATTATGTTTAGAAATATCATACGATCTAATTTTCTACATTTTATTGTAATGCAAAATAATAATAATAATAATAAGAATAATAAGAATAATAATAATATGTATAACACTTGTAAAACTTTTGAAACTATTTGTTTTCTTAAGATGAATTCACAACTAAACATAATTTATGAACTGTTTTGTTTTTAAAACTAAATCTTTACTGGTTTGAATGCTGGTCCAAGATTGAAGGTGAGGGACACATTTGAGCAGATGTAATCATTTTTAAACTCACCGTTTAAAATATGATAGAAAACAACATTTTATATAATTTAACTTTTACTTCTAGGTATTTAATTGGGGGCCCTCATTATTCCTAGGGCTCTAAGCGATCGCTTACCTTGCTTACTGGTTAAATCCACCACTGTTCATAGAGTGAGGTTATCTTAAAAAGTGTGTCATTTTCATTATCAGACAAAGAGCCTTGCAATATTTGCTGTTGTTGCTCAAGGGTAATGTTGTCACATTTACATGGGGCAAGCTGTCAGAATGGGAACTTGCTCTGAGAAGAATAATTTACATGCATTAACAAGAAAAACTATTTAAAAAGATAATATAAGGTGGTGTTAACCACAACCAACAACAACAATACAGACTTATTTAATAAAATAATATATAGCTAAATTAGCTAATTTATTGGTTTTATTTTGAAACCTAACATAGAAAGACCTGCCTCAAAGCCTCATGGTTAATGAAAAAAAGCCTTTGCTGCTGCATATGCTTGATTTCATACTGGATCAACAAGTGTATTGTGCCTGGATGAATTTTTATAAACAAACGACATGTCACCACCTACCTGTGCTCTTAGATTTAAGCAGTTTCCTGTGGTCTACAGCGTGGCGCAGGCTGAATAATCACATTAGCAAGAAGTCATATGCACTGTAGGTTTATATATAAACAGCAATGATGACTGACTGTGTCGCGTAAAAGTGAATGGCGCGGAAAATAACGCCACGGGATTGACCTGTTTTAGGACTTTAGGTAAACAGTGTGGCGCTAACTAGACCTATCCATGCGGTATATATTACAGCACATATATTTGTTGCTGCTTGGAATGCATCTCCGCTTCCGTGAAGTAATCCGAGCCCTGGCTTAGTTTCCACCAATCCCGACCCAGAACGCGGATCTGCCTCCTCTCGTGCCCTTGACGTCGCGTCGCAGCTTTATGACTGAGCAGAATGAAAACCGGTCAAAACATGCCCCACCCCTTCGCGCTCTCTCTCGCGCTCTTCTACAAGAGAGGTGATGATGAGGTAAAAGTTATTTCTCCATCATTGGTTTTATCCTTTTTTTAGAGGTAAAAGGCATTTTAATAAAACCACAACATATCGTTCACTTTAAAGTTCCTGAATAAGCTATGCTTCAACATTTCTTACTTAAGAAGGTGTTTTCAGCAGAGTAAGAATGTTTGAACCCCTAATTTAGATTAACGGGCACGTCCCACAGGTGACATTCTTCAGAACATGTTTAAACCCAAACGATGTCTAAACCTGACTTAATCTTGACTAACTATATATCATATGAATAGGCTAGTATATCATTTATAACTCTGAAATAAACATTTTGGTGACAGTTAAGAGGTAACGAGTTTCCCAACCTTTGGTTTTATTACTTTTTGACGTTTTAGGCATGGATATAATTTTTTTTGACAATCAATCAATCATTCATTCATTCATTCATTTTCTTGTCTGCTTAGTCCCTTTATTAATCGGGGGTCGCCACAGCGGATTGAACAGCCAATTTAGCAAGTTTTTTACGCAGCGGATGCCCTTCCAGTCGCAACCCATCTCTGGCAAACATCCACACACACACTCATTCACTACAGACAATTTAGCCTACCCAATTCACCTGTACCGCATGTCTTTGGACTGTGGGGAAAACGGAGCACCCAGAGGAAACCCACGCGAACGCAGGGAGAACATGCAAACTCCACACAGAAACGCCAACTGAGCCTAGGCTCGAACCAGCGACCTTCTTGCAAGGCAACAGCACTACCTATTGCGCCACTGCTTCGCCCTCAATCAATCAATGCTTGACAAAGAACCAAAAATAAATAAATAAATAAATAAAATTATTTCAGGAAGATTATGACATCATTCCCTCATGTCAAAAGTTAATTCTGGTTCAGTCACCTTGTCGGCTGTGAACAAGAATGTTATATATATATATATATATATATATATATATATATAATAAATAAATGTCAAAAAATAATAATAAGCAAATGGTAATTCATCAAAAAAAAAAAAAAAAATTCAATATTTCATAAAAATAGCCAGCTGGCGGGAGGGAGGTGGGGGGTGGGGGTGGGGGGTGACAAAAGGTTCAGAATTTGTCATATCATTTGTCCTATTTTGACTGCTATGCATTCATAAACAGTAAAAACAACCTAGAAAAGGCTTTAAGACCAAGCGGAATCCTGGTGTGACTTAAGTTAATCAGTTTGGCCAATGTTAACAATTATCTTTCAATAGTCCAACATCCAAAAACATCTGACTTAAGTGAATTCATCTTTTGCTACTATATTGTTTTTAAATAAACAGAGAAAACATTTGACAAGTAACATTCATTTTAAATCTTGGACCTTAAGAAAACATGACCCAAACAAAGTTTGAAGCACCAAAAGTGGCCTATATTAAAATCAAATTGAATACTAAATTGGCTATACTGTTTTGCATGCATTTTTAAATGCAATTTTTACAAGAGAGCCCAGAAAAAGCTATAAATAATTGTTATGTTTTTTGTTTGTTTGCTTGTTTTTTCAAATGTCCAAATTCTGACTGAGGGAAGTTAATTGCGTAGGCCTGTTTATTTGCCTAATAAATTACAATGGGCTAAAGTTTTTTTTTTAAATTAGACACTATATTTTCTAACGATTTAATACATTTGAATTTAAATAAATATTTGTCATATTTCTTTATTTTTGGTACACCAAACAGTGTGATTTTGATGTGTGCTTAAAATTTTAGCTAAATTCAGTATTTAAATTTCATAGATTTAAAAAATGAGGCGAAGAACTTTGAGAATTAAGAACCCTTTCACCAGGCTGGCTATGGGCCTGAGGATACAAAACAAAAACTAAAAAGGTTAAGCCTAGGCCAAATAGCCTTAAAAAAAGTTGCTATAGAATTCGAATACGAAATTTAATTCAGCGTGGTTAAACCTGGTTAGGAGGTCGCAGGCGGATTTAGGCTATTTAAAGGGATAATTCGCCAAAAAAGAATGTCGCACTAGCCTATATAATCACACTAGGTTCCATATCATTTTTCGAGCCGTTTTTTCTCTGTTGAGCACAAAAGAATATAATTTAAAATGGTTGGAAACCAACAAACACTAACTCCCATAGTAGGCAAAACAATAAGTTACTCTGCAAACAATTTTGTGATTAATAGACGTCTAATAGACATCTAAACGTCAACAGCTTGGCTAAAACAAGGCTAAACTTGAGCTGTCAATGAAAGTCTAAGGACATCTAAGAATAGCCCAAAACTAGCTAGTCGTCAAGAAGACAGATAAATAATAATAATGACAATAATAATAATAATAATAATAATAATAATAAGTTATAACTCCTTACATTTATATAGCGCCCTTTTAGGCCTATTTTAGATGTCTATTAGATTTATACTGACAGCCCAAATTTAGCCTTGTTTTAGTCGAAACGATTATAGACTATGTCTATTAGATTAGACATATTTAAAAAAAATGCTTGCTTGGTACCAATTTCTAAGATTTTTTTATTTCCAAAATAACTTATTTTGTGATCAACAGGAAAAAAAACTCAAACAGGTATGTGATAAGTGTTGACAGAATTTACATTTTTGGCTAAACTATCCAAATAACTTTGAAATATATTGGAGTATAAGCTATGGGAGCTGTTCAGTGTTGTGGTGCTGAAGTATTTTACGAGCCCACCCATTCATGTTCTGAGGTCTATTATAAAAATATATATATTTGAACAGAAGGTTTGGATTTTTCAATATATTGCAACAAACCATAATTAGAAAATGTAATTTGAATATCCTTGGCCAGAAGCTATAAGGTACGTTGAGCTTAAACTAATTTCACAAGCAAGAATTCTTTATGTGACGGATTTCAGATTTGACAACATTTTCTCGGAATAATAAGTGAGTTACAATTTACTCTTTAAACCAAAATTATTTTAATAGCCAGATAATACAGTGAATGTACACCTACAGGTCCTGCAAACTATAAAACGTTTTCCTCAGCTTTGTCCACTAGAGGGGGCCTTTTCTCCTCATAATGTGCGCAAAGTGTGATAATTGTAACAGCAAGTGCAAATAGTGAGTACCAAAATTATTATACTAATTATGGCATTTAAATTGTATTTACATATGCGATATTTTCACTATATGGTTCTTAATGAATATTGCATGACGACAGAGAAAGGCTTGATCTCTGAGATTTAGCTATTAGGCCAAGTTCAGAAGTCCGCGCGTCTCATGAAACGCAATCTTGTATTATTCACACAGAAAAAACATATATATATAGCATAAGATATGTTTTTATTTGGATTCCCTATCCCCTTTATCATATGTTTTATATTCTTATCTGACAGATCAGATGTCACTTGAAATATACAACAAACCTTGCATATATATTCACATTGATTTAAAACGTTTACAGTTGGCAAACAGGCTAATACAAAGAAGTGTATAAATAATAAACATATAAAATGGGGTTTAAATACACAGCGGTCACGAGAATATACGGATTTCAGTTACTCTCTTTAAGTTAATGACAACAGTACAGTTTTAAATAAATAAGACTGTCGTTATACCCTGAGAGTAAAAAGAATCAATCTACCATTCACAGACGAGCTTCAACAATGAAGACGGTCGCTCAAAAAAATCTTACAAATAATATTAAAAAACACATTTAGAAAAATAAAACGTTGCATGCGCGATTAGATTTCTTTTTCTCCGGACCATTTTTACCAAAGGATCTTTTTTCACTGACCCTCCGTGTTTCCAGTGGGTGTCGGTGGTGAGTGGGGTCCAGGGGAAATGTCGTGCAGTTTCCTAATATGTTTTTTAAGATCAAAGTTCCTGCAGAAACCTTTGCCGCATGTCGGGCATGTGAAAGGCTTCTTGTCGTTGTGCGTGTGCATGTGAAATGTAAGGTTGTACACCTGGTGGAAGGCTTTGTTGCAGATATTGCACTTGAACTGTTTTTCTCCGCTGTGGGTCAATTTGTGGTTCTTGTAGTTTCCTTGGAAAAAAACCATGGGATTTTATTAATCAATATTTCGCTTATAGCATATATATATATATATATATATATATATATATATATATATATATATATATATATATATATATATATATATATATATATATATATAGTCAATTCAAGAACAGCTACCTTTCTGATGAAATCCTTTGCCGCAGAATTCACAAATGAAGGGTTTGTATCCTGCGTGAATTCGGGTGTGAGTGTTGAGAGTTGAACTTCGGTTAAAAGCTTTGCCGCATTGGTTGCATTTATGCGGCTTTTCCTGTGGACATCAGATGAGAAACATTAACAAAAAAATAAAACTCTGTTTTTTTACTAAAGATATTTCACTTGGCATGGGCTATTCCAAAATCATGCAAGACCTGCATTTGACTGAAAAACTGCTAAAGAACAATCACTGGTAAATGGAAATAGATTTAGCTATTTAACTTAGTTATTATTGCTGAAATTATTTTTGTTGTATTTGTTAATATTTTTGTTATTATGTTTAGTTAAAAAATAGACTTTGTTTAATTTTATCGCTATCTGTTCATTATTTCTATATTTCTATTATCAAAAAAAAAAAAAAAAACATCAAGTCATTGAACTCGGCATGGAAAAGCTAAAAAACATATTAAGAGTTTTCTTTAGCAGAGAGAAAAAGTTCAATGTAACCCGGCGATTTCATTGAGCTGTATTCTTATATGTTCTGTAATTGAAACGGCAACACATGAACATTGTTTTTCTTGTACACTCTTAAAATAAAAGGTTCTTCATTGGAATTCTTGGATCCACGAAGAACTTTAGAATCTTTTCATTTCACAAAAGAATCTTTATTGTGGAAAAACTTATTTCGATTTGTTATTTATAGTTATTTAATGAAACATGTATTAAATGTTTACTAAAAGGTTCCCCGAGGACCCAAAAAAATAGCGCTTCTAACTTTTGCATCACTGCAAAAACGTTCTGAGACTTGTATTTTTTATTTCACGAAAAAATCAAATAAACAAGATGTTAACACCAATGATTACGACATTTAAGAGTAGGCTATAATTTAAAAAAAATTGCGAATTAGTTGCAAAAATTCGTTTGAGATATTACATTTACAGATATCAGATTTATTTATTTGTAAACTAAAATTATGCGCATAATTACCTGAGTGTGGATAATTTTATGGCGACACAGGGTGCTCGCTTGTCTGAATCCTTTGCCGCATACTTTGCAGACGAACGGTCTGGCGCCCGTGTGAACCGGCATGTGACGCGTTAAATTATAGTGCGCGTTGAACACCTGAAATTGCAAATTGTGTTAAAGAATGGGAGAAAGAGAGAAGACATGCGGTGCGTGCTAAAAGAAAAAAATAGATTTCGTTCGTCTCACCTTGCCACAAACTTCACAGGTGAACACCTTTGGTTTGGTTTGAGGAGAGCCGCTGTTTACTTTAGCCGCCGAGTTCTTGAACAACTTCTCCGACAAGATGTGCGCGCTCTCCTTCATGTAATGGTGCAGATGAGAGTGAGAAAGCTCCTTAAAAGAAACGCCAGGAGGACACCTGTCCGCAACGGCCCCCTGTTTGCTTTTCTCCGAGGAGAACAGGCTCTTCTGGCGCGCGTGGAGCGGCGTGTTGAGGAGATAGGATGCCATGGGGTGCAGGTTCACCAGACCCGCGTGAGGCGGACACGCACCTTCCCCGCAGTTCAGGTAACAGACGGCGGCTCCCATGGCGTGGAACGACGACTGGTTGACCACGCGCGGCCGGAATAGTTTGTACTGTCCGATGGCCGGAGCCGCATCTTGCTGCTCGTTCTTGTAGTTCAGTCCGATGCTCAACAGCTCGTTCGCGTTGTACGCAAAAGTATCAGGGTGGTCTAATCCATTGATGTGAAGTTTATGAGGCGGCTCGCAGGCGAGTGGCATGAGGGGGATCATGCAGTGCAACGGGGCGGGAGACTGCTTGGGCTCCGCTTTCCCCACGGGAGCTTGGAATAAGTTCGGGAACGGTATCGACTTTGGTTCGGGCGTCCTGGCCATAATCCTTTCGATCGAAAACGCGAGAGGCTTGGAGCTCGCGATCATGCTTCCTCCAGTCGAAGCCGAAGGGGCGCCGAATATTCCCGCTGAGTGGTACAGCGCGCTGTCCATGACTTGAGCGCAGCACCTGTACCTGTGTCCTCCTTTTGTAGATAAGTTTGATTCCTCTCAGTGACCCGCAAGAAAAGACATCATCAAGCGCAAAGGCCCCCCTGGCTGCTCCGCTGCTTGTCAATTGCGGACAATCAGCACTTATGTCCGCCCCGGATTGCTCAATAAAGAGTGTTTTGTCAATAGCGCAACTCAGGGCTCACCACGCGCGCACGTCAAAGACACGTAAAGCAGCCCAGATGCTCGATTTAGTTATATCAATCACTAGAGCGGCTTTTTTCCCCTCTCCCTCCCTGCACTTGTCCTACACACTGATGTGGGTGACTAACTGAAGAAGGTGCTCTTTATTAGCACTGTAAGGCGCTGGGCGAATCTCCGGTCCCCTCGCGCCTCGCTGTGACATCATTGTACCTCACGCAGGATGACAGGCGCGCGCATGCATCATGTTTTTCAACATTTGACATATAAAAACTGCACGTTACCTGTTTTGGAACAGCATTTTTTGTGTGTTTTTTTAACCTATCTTTATTGAATAGGACGGCGATTTTTAAACGACATTCTTAATTTAGGGATTTACAAGTAAAACGTGCATGAAGTGAATGGAAATCATGGAATAAAAATGGAAATCATGGATATGATAGGCTATTTGGATGTTTTTTTTTTTTTTGCATAAACGTAATCTATTTTAAAACCTGAACATATGATTTGAAATCTGATTTTTTAATGTCAGCTAAAATAATACTTTTCACATACTACTGTGAAAAGAATCTTTGTTTAAACAACAGTTACTTGATTTGGGCACAACGATTTCGTGTACAGGTTTGTAACCAAATTCATTTATTACATTTTAAAATGGAAAATATATTCGACTGTTTTATAAAAATAAAAATCTAAACAAACACACAAGCTTAATATAACACTAAAAAGGCTATTTTATTTTGTCATTTGTTGAATATAAGTTCTCAGTCAAATCAGTATAGGCACTTGTTCATTTCTATTTCTAGTCAGAGTTTTATTGTCACTTCAGGGGGCAGTTGGTTATGTATGATCGTAATTTTACCCCTGTGGTTAATTTTTAATTGGTTAAACTGTTGGTGTTAAAGCTTTTCCCATGTTACAAAGTAACATCCGTCGATTCCACCAGCACATTTAATCTGATTTAATCTACTTAATAACCACATAGCTAATTTAATGTGAAATATAAGCAAATAATAGGTATCTTTTTTGCAACGCTTTCGTGTGTAATTAGTGAAATTCACGCGACGGTTGCCGCGCTGCTTCACGCACACATACGGAAAAGAAAGAGTACAGTAAAGCTATATTAGGCATCATACGACGTTCGTTTTCCAAACGCAAACTCGCGAGGACACTCATCTGGGAATTGTGCGGGAAACGAGAGGTATTAACAGAAAAACGCCTCCAAGGAGCTGAGATCATGCCTTGAGAGAGAGTGAGAGAGAGAGTCGCGCGCTTTACCATCCAGTCCGCGAGCAAAAGCAGAAATGTAAAGTGGCAGCTCTGTGTGAAAATACAGTTGACAGTGATTCGATGCGAAGATTTTTTTCGTGAAGGATTATTCTGTTTAAAAGGTAATTTAAATAGAAAACGAGAGCGTCATTGACATATTGTGCTTTTAAATTATTTTATTATTGTGAGACATACATATTAATGATATTGTTTTTTTAATACAATGCATATTGACGATCAGCAGTAAATGCGCTAAAATGATAATGTTTGTGTTTTCAGGGCGACTTTAGAACATTGCTAATTTTGACTGCTGTTCAATTGGAAGCAGATGGGTGTCAAATAGCCTGCAATTTGGAGCTTTTTCTACATAATAAGCAGTCACCTTACTGTTGTCATATGCTGCTCCTCAGATTTCTTCAGTTGGGCGAAGGCAATACGAGAAAATAACTCCCCTGTAATTTCACGAGACAAATGCATTTTAATATTTGTTTCTTTTTGGTCAATGTGTGGGATTAAATCTTGTCATGCACTTTTACATCTCCATACTCTATAGTCAGACAGTATTAGAATATCAAAAATTTACTAAAACGTGTCGACAAAATAACTACTTACAAATAGCTATTTTTAGAGTATATTTAGGCTATTTATTAACGAATTTAAAAATTAAAACTATTCAGTTATTATGCTTTCTAATTAGACTTGGTTAATAAAAGTATGCGTTTCATATTTCAACGTAGCCTATGATTTCCCCGAATATAATTTGCAGAAAAGTGTCTTTCAGTAAGAAATATTATAAATGATTCTATGGCAGCGGTTAGCATATCAACGTCGCTATTTATTTCTCCGACATTGAAGTTGCCTTAAAAAAACCCATATTCATATCCAGGTATTTTAACATAATATGATATTGTTTCAAGGTCACAAGCAGACTAAAGATTGAATCGAAGTTATCACATTTAAAACAGGATTGATATCAAGATTCAGGCTGTATAAATCATTTTAGTTTTGATCGTCTTTCATTTATTAATTAACCTTAAACAGCTGGAGGTAAACAATTACTTTAAATAAACGTCTCCCATTTAGAAGTCTAATTTCTATACGCATTTGGCGTTTTACTCTTTAAATTTATTTACAATGTGTTGTTTACTTATTTATTTTTAATTTTTTTTGCATGACTCAGTTCATTAGTCTTAACTTTATATATTAATAATGAAGATCACGCCAGAAGGCTGTTGTGTTTATAAAGAATTTCACTTCTTTCTTTCTTGATGTGCTTATTAAATATGCACAATAAAGACGAAGGCCATTTAACATGATACCGGCCAGAATACAGAAAGCCGCACACTGAATAGGATTCAATACACAAAGTCGGCATTTTTATTGACCGAGATAGATAGATAGATAGAAACTCTAAATAAGATGTTCTTGGCGTTGGCGCTAATGTAGGGCCTAATATAGATTTAATATTACTGTTCAATAAGGTTTTGTGTCAAGACATATAAAAATCAACAAATTTTTGAAACGTATTTTTCATGTAACATAAAATTTTAAGAATTGTTAATTTGCAACAAGATATGAAAATGATAATATAAATAATTTAAATATACAAAAACTTTTAAAAATGTATAATATATAATTTAAATATATATTTAACAACAACAAATAAAAAATCATTCAAACTGATTTTATACAAACCTTGATAAATCTTTAAAATCATCAAAAGCCAAGGAACATTTCATTTAATTCAGATAAAATAATGTCAAAATATTATGAAAAAAAAATATATATAAAAAGGACCAAAGCAGTGACATTAAAAACACTTTAATTGTAACACTCAACACACCTGGGCAACCTCAGGTGCACAAAGACAATAGAAATATACAGCTCTTATTAAAATCCAATGACATCTTTCATCTGAAACATATTTGGACATTGACAGCATACTATACATAACACACTCAACGGTTACTTCTACAGAAGAATCTGAATGTGAATTCATAGCTATTGAGTGGAACAGTGTCACAACTTCATCAAATAACAGTGAACAGCTAGCATTTCATCCACCATATCTGAAGCTTTGACCTGAGGATCCCAAGCTAATACAAAACAAAAAAAACAAAAACAGCACATAAGCGGATGCTACTTTTTCTCCAGCTCTGCATTTCTAGCGTTCACTCAGGTACACCATGTCTATGATACACTTACAAATCATCAGCTGCTCCTTTGTGTGTGAATTTGTGCCTGCGAGTGCTTCCCACTATTGGAACTTGCCTTGCGATGAGCCACTGCACATCAAATACACAACGACAGAGATACTTTAGCTGTCTGGAAGTGGCCAATGAGAGTTTTATACAAGCATGGTGACACCGGCTTAGACAAGTGGGCAGTGTGGCACTGGCTGGGGAGCATGAAGTGTGAGCTCCAATCAGGAGAGCTGGAATCCGACCTCTTTGTATCGAGTTTATGACCGTCCATGTAGGTGGGACATTAACCCTCCTCTTCATCGCTGTCCCTCATGGTGATGCCCTGCAGACCATCAGTGGCCGATACGGCTGCCGTGGCTTCCTCGATAGTGAGCCGGCTGTAAACGGTTTCATAGCTCTTGTTGTTCAATGTGCCATCTAGTACACCCTGCAGCCTGAAGTCACGGTACGACTTCTGCATGACAAAAAATGAAGAATGGAGAACGAGTTTTAAGATGTGTTTGTTTCACTTTTTGACTTCTAGTCATTCGAAGATTCACCCGAAACGCCACTCTGCCACTAATTAATCTCTCATTCTCATGGTAATGGAATTTGTTGTGCAGCTAAGCTGAACTTGACACTCTTGTCACAGTCAATTAGCATCAGCAGAGTTTCCAACAAAAACTTGTTCACACTGTATTCCCTTCTTTTACCTTGACAATCTTGATGAGAGTCTTGAGTTGGTAAACATGCAGCTGCTGGTCGAGTCTGTCCGTCAGCCAGACGCACACCGCCTTCATGAAAGAGGTGTACCATTGCTGTGTAAGGGAGAAAGAGAGATAAACCTTGAAGGGACATAAATGTGATGCGAAAAAAACCTCAGCCTTTTACGCAAATGAAAAGATGTGACCTACATGGGGTTTGAAAGAAAAAGCGACTTTTGGTGACTGTCAAAAGTTTCTTTTTGTTCAGGTGTGCCTTGAAAATTGAATTTTGCAGTCGTCAAAACCAAAAGACCCGCAAGGAGCCACTGCTTATCTACACAATAAATTCAAATTCATTAAGAGTCATTACTTCCCTGGTCATTATTGAACTTCTTGCTACTATCGTCACATGCCCCACGTTTCATTTGAGGCCACGTCCGCACTTAACGGCAAATCTAAAGATGTAGAACCTACTAATTGCACTTGATTCTTGATCTTGCACTTAAAACACATTTAGTTTACATTTTCCTTCATGCGAGGACACATCATATAATTAGTCTTTCAGAAGGCCGGTGCTTGTTATGAAAGAAGCTAGTTTTTAATCAGTGGCGATCTGATGGTGAATATTTTTTAAGGACCCTCTGACACTAGACCACATTGGCATTCATCCTTCTAATTTAATTTCACAAACCATTAGCTCACGTTGTCGAAAGTTAAAAAAGATTGAGATTTGAATCTTTGATCAGTCGGAATATGACTTCTCTTGAATGCATAGACTGTGTCATAAAAGACATCATCTGTTTATTTGTGAACTATATCACTTAGGCTGAACTTCCAATGTATCCCATGTAATTTACCTTCGGGCTTTGCTTTAGCGCGTTCGAATTTGCATCAGGAGCATGAATGAAGCCAAACAGCGCAAAAGTAATCAGCAAAGTCCGCTCCTGCCGTTTACGGAAAGTGGGCAAAACGGAAAGATGAGGCGCCACTTAATTGAAGCACTTAGGCTGGTTGGGAAACAGACGACGGTGCCCTAATTGTTGGAGGTGAAAGAACGGCAGTGCATTTCTTCATATCAGCCAAACCTCAGTCGGTAATCAAACGCTTAAGTGTCCACTTGTCTGGTTCATTAGGGAGGCAGGGGAGGGCAGCATTCGCACCTGTGACCAGGCTGAGGGCCACGGCCCCTCGCCGTGCAAACCTCATCGCTCCACTAATCACAGTGATTTAGCGACCCGGACAAACAGACCGCAGCCTGCAAGGGCATGCAGTGACTGATTTTCCCATTTCCTTCAACATATCCACAACACAACAATCGGCAGCTTGATGTACAGCATATTGTTCTTAAGAAGAAGCGTTGAAATATATTCACGGCTGAACTTTTAGCCATCCAGAGATTCGAATTAGATTACCGTACATGCTTCGCAACAGACTGACAGATTGGATGTTTGGAGTTGTAACGCACACACAGGCTGCTTGATGAGGAAGCTTCTGTGCTGACACACACGGCGACCCGTCTCTGGGCTCGCTCTCGGTGCATGACTGTGCGCATGTGACACACATTAGGGACTGCTGGTGTACAGGCCACCTCCATCCTGCCCGCCGGTCTCCACTGGAGGCCTCGGCAAAGGTCTAATAAATCAAGAGGAGACATAAAACACTGCATCTCTCCAATCTGGCGCGGAATAGAACGTTTTTCAAAGGCAATCTGCTCAAGATTTAAAGGGGAGAGGATTGTGTGTACACTCTCTCGAGTGTTTGAGTCTTTCCATAGATCTGCTGTCTCCGAAAGTGGCTTGGAAGGATGAGCAGTGTGTTCTAAACAAAATTAAGGAGCAAGACGTACACGTTGGTGCCTTCTAGCTCTCTCTCTCTCAATGTTGTTTGAGAGTAAACGGGTCAACAGGAGCCCCGGGTGAGTGCTCAGACACTGGAAGTGGTCACAGTGGGCTGATGAGTGCTCTTGGTGAGGCCTCATTGCCTCTCGCTACAAAAACTTTCTCCACCCCTTTTCACCTCCCTCTGCTCTGGCTTCACAATAGCCACTGCTCGGCAGGGACGCGGTTGGAAAAGAATAAAAAAAAAAGAAAAAGGAACAGGGAGAAATGCTGGAACATTCATTCTCCTAAAATCCTTGTTTGAAGTAATTCTGCTGCGTTTCAGTTGATCTGCAGACTTATTATATAAATGGTGTCTGGAAAGGGTAATATGCTCTCTGAAGATCTGGAAGAAACTTACGTCAAAGATTTTCTCAGTGTACATCTCGTCATTCACACGGTCTCGCAGAATGTCCTGGTTCTGCCTTACAAAAGTGATGTAGGTATCTGCTAGATCCATACCAGGTTT